ACTCGCAGCCTCACCCCGCCCAACTCCCGCCCGGCTGCGGCCCAAGCCAGCCTTTGTACTTCAGGGACAAGGCAAAGATAGCTGACCCCCCACCAATGCTGCTGGTGGCTGAGTGTGTGTGTGTGTGTGTGTGTGTGTGTGTGTGTGTGTATGCGCGAGGGGGGCTGGGGGAGGTCAACTGTGTAGATCCCACTCCCTAGCACCCCACAAGGTACAGAGTGGAAGCAACCCCTGGGTCCCCTCTGCTTCTCTCTACCCTTGGGGTCCCCATCTTCTTCACTTATACTGTGGCTGGGAGAAGATACAGCACTATCAGATCAATCAATGTGTTGGGATTGCTGTTGGTTTGTTGTTGCTGCTGCTGCTGTTTTAAGTAAAATCACTGAGTCGCCGAATCCTAGATTATTAGAGAAAGGCCAGTTGTGGGGGGGTAGGGAGCAAGTGCACCCCCTCGGAAGGAGAGCGGGCGGCGCGTGGCCTGGCGGACGCCTGGCGAGACTCAGCGAGGCCCGGTGGAGTGGCTGGATTATGTAAGTAACAGCCCTCCCGGCGCTGGACACCATCTGTTAATTTCTTGATATTGGAAAGTTGGGTGCCTGAGGCTAAGCCAAGGCTGGCTGCGAAGGGCTTCCAGCCTGGCTATTTCTTATTCCTCCAGGGCAGGAAACTGTACCTCCCTTGATTATTATTATTATTATTTTACCCAGTGCCATCAAATCAAGGAGAAGTCTGACCCCTGGATCACCCTCAACCCCTCTCCTGGGGAGAGGAGTGGACTTTGCCTTGTGTTTGGGGGGTAAGGGGGGCAGGGACGAGCGATTTTCTCGACGACATCTTATAGTAGCGAGTCCTCTGACAAATCCATACTTTTCTGACAGATCTGCGGTCTTTGGGGTAAAAGGAGAGGGGGGGACTCTTAACTGGGGAATGGGGGCTTAATTGTTTTCTTTTAAAAATACTACTTTTGCTGTCAACACCCCTGTCTGCAGTTTCTCTTAAGGGTTATATTTCGACTTTCTTTGGAGTGATTCGTTTCTGTTTACTTTGAAAGCTGTTGGTTAAACAAACATCACTCAGAGGCTTCTCAACAGTGAGGTTCCCCAGAGAGAAAGCCCGCAGCTGCTTCTTGCTACTGATCTTGCGGGATTTCACTTTCGGCCCCACCATTCAGAGCAAATCCAGGTTGGGTTTGGCGTCACGCTGGGCACGGGGGAGGAGAGTGGGAGAGGCCGAGTGTCATTCTGCCTGTGGGCTACCTGCTGCAGGCCCGGTCTGCTCCTCAGAGTTGGTTTTTCTTTCTCTTCCCTTCCTCAGGCTGGTGGCAGTGGTGGCCACGAAGGGGTGAGTTTGGTGGTTTGGTGGCAGCGAGGGGTCTCTGGCATCGTTTGCCGGAATTCGCGTCCCTGTTTGCCTCTAGGCTGGGTGTCTTAGGGTTTGATGAGGGCTGGGTGTAAGTTTTTAAATTACATACACGCACCACTTTCCCTCCTACCCCCACTTAATGGCTTTACGGAAGAAGGGGGAGGGGAGCACCAAGGAACTAGCCCGGCGAATGCGTTTAACCCAGAACCAGATGCACAAGGGATGACCGCAGGTTGGACTCCGAACACACACAGATCGCCCTGCAGATCAATAAGCAAACGCAACCTGCACGGGGACGGTCTGTGTGAAGCTGGATCAGAACTTGAGTTAACTTCTAAGTTGCTAGGGTGGCGTTGGCCACCGGGAGGAAGGAGGGAATGAGTTGACCCGGGCTAGGTTTGGCCTCAACGTTCACAGATGGAGCCATTATCTATGCGACTTCTGCCCCCAACGGATCGCGCTTTTTTTTCCCCTCCCCTATCAGAAAACAAACCAGAAGTCGCCGAGATAGGGGTCTTGGGCCTGACGCCTGGCTCCAGAGCCCCCAGAAATCCAAGAGAGCATCCTAGCTGGGACCAGGGAGGTGGCCTGGCCGCGACAGTCGCGGACCAGACAGACACCCGCGTCGGCTGCTTACAAAGCTGGATTGCAGACCCAGCTCGCTCGTCCAGCGTCGCGCGCGCTCCGGTTCCAAGAAGCGGCTCCTGCGCCCCAATGCCGCCTGCGAATTGCCACCGCCGAACAGCCGCGAAGCCTCTGCCGCCCAGGCTGGGGGCGGGGGAGAAGGGGGGTGAAGTGTTTCCTTGTTCTCCCAGAGGGTTAGCTAGACTTCAAGTCCGGCCTGCCTTTTGCCTCCAGCGTGGTAGAGGTCTTACTGTGGTGCGCAGGGGAACTTTTCCCGCCGCCTGATCCTGTCAGGTGTAGTGTGTTCAAAACGTGCAACAAAGTGCTAGGTACAATTGACCCAAAGTTATGAGCTGAGGTTGGAGCTATTTTCTTTCCCCTGGCCTCCTTTCTTTCCCCCCCCCCCCACGCATCCCCTTTTCCTTCCCTGGTCTCCTCCCTTTTGAGTCTTAAACTGAGCAGATGGTTTTAGGGTGTAAAGAACATATATTCTTTATTACTACACGTTTATTTGCGGACTATCGCTAAGTTATTTGTGCAAACAGGTTTTAAAAGAAGAAAAATGAGAAAGAGCAAGAAAACATCCTCAGAACCCAAATTTCCCAGCACAATACACCCGCTTACCTCGAAGGGACCATGTTGTATCTAATGAGCGTGAGGACAGATTATTTCAGTTCCCAGCCTAAACTGTCACATCCCTGTAAGAACACTTGATACAACCGCGGATCCCTGGAGGGGTGAGCCGTGTGTGCCTGTGTCTGTGTTACCTCCACAAAGGACCAGAGGAGTGTCTAGGGGAGATGAGTGGGGGAAGGGGTAAATAACGCTGGGGATGCACCTATAAGTCTTTTCCCATCTGGCTGACCTGATTTTCCCCCCCCTTCCTCTTCAGTGCCAAAAGTTTGCTACAGGATACATACCAACATCGTTATTCAGAGACAAGACTTAATATCCTGTTTACAGTTGGATACATTTGAGGGTGAAGTTGTAAATATCCCAGAGAGGTGTGTGTCTGGGGGAGAAGATGTTGGTAGTGGTTGGCTAGTGTCCTTGCAACACATCTCATAAATACTGTTGTCACAACGCGGTGCGACCTTTGATCTGATTAAATTCAAGGGACATGCAAAAAAGACTTCTCCCTATCCTGCCTTATAAAAAGAAAGAAAAAGAAAAGGAAAAGATCCCCCTAAATATTGAGCATTGAATCTACTTACTAGGTATGCATGTTTCTGCTTCAAAGCTCACGACTAGTCCCAGCTTTTTATAGGATCTTTAAGTCATAAAGCGGCTGTTTTATTAAATGCTGTTTACTATGCCCAGGGAAACCTTCATGCTGCGGCTGGATGGAGGCTGTCTCTTTAGCATTTGTTATTCGCAAAGCTCAAAAAGCTCTTAAAAAAATAATCTGAAGAAATGTTGTCGGATATTTTTCACCCACGAAATGACAAATCAAAATGAATTTTCTATGGCTTCACCTTAGAGCCTGAGATTTTAGCGTCTGAAATTTTCTTGCCTAATAAACTTTAAAGTTTGTAACCCTGACATTAAAATGGTGTAAATCCTATGTTGGACTGTTTTTAGCTCCCTTTGGTCATTCTGAGTGAGGGAGAGGAAATCGGGAGATGTTTGTGACATGTATGTGTGTACATATATACATATGTATCTATACATACATTGATCTATCTATATATATATCTAGCTAACCCATATAATATTGTTAGAGGTGATCGAAGGTGAATATCATTCTTACTAATCATTTTCACAGGTAATTGGGACTTAGTGGGGGTTGTTTTAACATCAGATTCATTGGACCGAGGGTGAAACATCTTTCACCTATGATTTTAATTCTAAACCAACCTGTATTTTATCCTTCACCTACTCTTTAAAAGAGTGACATACATATATGTATACTGCCTCGGAGATCGTTTAAAAAGTAGAATGATTTGCGCATCTCTCCCCCCACTCCCTCCCTCCCTTTATGCCACCCCCTAAACCCCCCCCCCACACACACACCCAATACACTTTTTCCTCAAATATACTTTTCCATGCCTTTCTCTACCCAAGTCCAGGGAGCGCTCCCTCGCTTAGCGGCTCGGTGAACTTGATCAGCTGTATCAGGGAAATGAAAAAAAAAAAAAAAAACAGAAAGACCAGCGTCCTGGAAGATCAAGTTGCGCCGGGCGCTGCTCCGCAGAGTGCCCGCAGATGGCTCGCTGCGGCTCGGGAGCGGAGATCCCGGCGCCCCGAAGCTATGGCTGGGCGGGGGGTGGGGGGTTGGGGGTGGGGGACCAGGGATGGAGGCCAGGGATGGAGCGGGGTGGGGGAAGCGCAGGAGGAGGGGGCTCTCTCCTTTTCTGTCCTCCCAGCCCCTCACCCCTCCACCCCTTTTCTATATATATGGTTTTTTTTTTTCTCCCTCCCAAGTTCTCTTGCCTGGCTATCCCCCCTTGAATCCGAAGGCGCCTCGCGATTGGGTGCTGGGGCCGGGTACGTCAGTCAGACTGTGACGTGCTGTCTTCCTGTTTCCTTCAGCTGTGTCTTAAAGTAAATCTTGTTGTGGAGCGGAGCCCTCAGCTGAGAGAGCGCTCGGAAATCATTCACCATTGCCACCGCGGAGAGCAGAGCGGCGCAAAAGAGCTCTGGCCGGGTCCGCCTGCCCGCGCCCTGCCCGCGCCCTGCCCGCCTCGCCCGGCTCCGCTCCGCAGCCTCTCCGCCCCTCGCCCCGCTCTGCGCTCCGCTCCTTGGCTTTTTCTCCTCTCCTTTCGTCCCCTCGCCCCTTCTCTCCTCTCCCGTCCCCGCCTCTCTCTCTCTCTCTCTCTTCCCCCCCCCATTCCCTCCCTCCCTCTGCCCACTCGCCGCGCTCCCTTGCGCTCGCACAGACTCACCGCGCCTGGTCCAATTATCATATTCATCACCCGCAAGATACCACCGTGTGTGCGCGCGCGTGTGTTCCTCTCTCTGCCGGCCAAAAAGAGAGAGAGCGAGAGAGAGAGGCGAGAGAGTGGAGAGAGAGAGAGTGCAGAGAGAGAGAGAGAGAGAGAGAGTGGGGAGAGAGAGAGAGAGAGGCTCGGTCCCACGGCTCTCTGCACCGCGTAAGTACCTTCTCCCCCTCGCGAGTCCCCTCCCCTTTGCCAGAGTCACTTGCACTAGCTTGTTCTTCTAGAATGAGAAGGAAGAGAAAAGAGCTTCCCAGTCCCTCACACCCCGGGTAAACAATCTGCACCCCCCCCGCCTCCACTTCTCTCCCAGGAGTTTAAAAAAAAGAAAGAAAGAAAAGGAGGAGGGGTGGCATTTAAATGAACCCGGGTAAAACAGCCTCCAAACAGTTTTCTAAGCCGGAGGCGCCCTCGGTGGGACTCGGCGCTGCGCTCTTCCCAGGGCCGGAGAGAGTAAGTGGTCCGCTTGGCTTGGCTTTCTTTCTCTTTCCTGCCGCTTGGCTGGGGGTGGTGTTGGCCCTGGAGATGGGGGTTGCGGGGGACACGCTGGTGTGGCTGGACTTGTCGCCGATCTTGTCACCTTTTGTGTAACGTCTCTGGGGGTGCGAGGACGGTTTGGCTTCCCTCCCTTCTTTCTCTTCTCAGGAGAGGAGAGAGGGACAACGAGGGGGACCGGGTCGCTTTGTGTGTGTGTGTGTGTGTGTGTGTGTGTGTGTGTGTGTGTGTGTTCGTCTGCGCCCCCCCCGGCCCCCCCTCCGCTTTCCGCTAAGCTCCATCCATCTCCTCTCTGGGGTTAAAACTCCACTCCCGGGGCTCGTCCCCAGGTCCTCTCCCTTTGTCTTGTTTATTATAGCTCCCTTTCTTCCCGGCTCTTCCAATTTGCTTGTCATTTGCATACCTTTCACTTCTCCTTTTTTAACCCCAGCAGAGGGACCGGGAGTGGGGGAGGAGGGGCCACTTAAAAAGGGTGTGTGTGTGTGTGTGTGTGTGTGTGTGTGTGTGGGTGTGTGTGTGTGTGGTGGGGGGGGGGAGAGGCGCTCTTCTTACTTTTCTGGACCACACACTGTCGAAGCTGAAATGTGGAGTGATGGGTCCTGAGCGCGCCACCCCTCTCCGGGCTGGGTGGAGCGGGTTAGGGGTAAGGTGGCACCCAGTGCCCCAGGGGGCCTGAAGTGGAGGGATTGGGGACCTGACCAGCCGCCGCCGAGCTGGATAGAGGACTCGAGATCCGGGTGGAATAGAAGTGCGCTCCTACAGTGGATGTGTGAGTTGGAGACTCTCAGGGCCATCGCTGGCGTTCTGTGGTGTTGGGGCAGCTTCGCTCGGGTCTTGCCGGCTTAGCACCGACTGTGTTACCTCAGTTCGAAGGACTGGGGACTCATAAGGAGAAAAGAGGAGAGGTGAGAGTAGTTGTTGTTGTGAAGAGGACTGAGGAAAGTGGAAAGGGGGGGAGGGGGAGAATTCTCTCCTGCTTGAACAGTCAAGGTGGAAGGGGGGGAGGGGACGATGGACATCACCCAAAGTCCCGTTTAGCAAGTTGTGGGTTCTTCTGGTGTGCCAGCCAGTCAGTTCTCCTGCTGGACCTGATGGGGGTGGGGCCGGCAAAGGAGGAGTCGCTTTCCGCACCCTAAAGGGTCTGTGGACCCTTCTCGACTTCTTAGGATGTTGAGCTGCCCAGGCAGACTGAGAGTAGAAACAGGAGGCGGGGTTGGTGATTGTCTTAAATAGCCCAAGGAGTCTGGTTGGAGTGTGAAGTTGCTGTTCTTGGCAACCCCAGAGCCCTACCTGCCCGCGGGGGGGGGGGGGGGGAAGGCTGGGAACTCACCTGCTTGTTTTGACTTTTCCAAGAAGGTCTGTGTTGTCTCCTTAAGCTTATAAAAACAGAGCAAGCACAGGGTGGCCTCCTCAAAAGTCAAGGCTGGAAAAGTCTCCTACACCCCCTCCCCCCCTTCTCCTTCCTTTCTTCCCTTGATCCCATGCCATGTCTTATAACAAGAAAGAAAATCATTTCCTTTCTTAAACAAGGTAGGCAGAAGTCTATGAGCAGAGTGCATGGGCAGGGCCTGACAGGTGTGTTGTGTCAAGAAAGACAGGTGCAAATTTCCTCTGTGTCTCTGTGTGTCTGTATAGTTCCAGACCACAAGGCTCGCTTGAGGGTTGTAGAGGTTTATGAATTTATGGTTGTCCTGGTTAATAGGATTGTCTGGGCTAATGGAAATTGGGCTGCTGTTCTGTGGAGCCCTGCCATGTGAGTTCTTTGGGAGGAGGTAGGGGAAGGTTGGTATGTATTTGTTTACTCTTTTTAAGGATGGAGGCCAGCGCCTGCTAAGGCCATGTCTCAAGCTTCTGTCTGCCCTTCGGCCAAATCTACTTCAGCAGCAGGTGGAGGCAGATTGACTTTCCCTTTGCTTCCCTCCAGTTCCCAGTTTATGCCTGTCTCCCAGAGATGGGCAGGGCGATAGAGGAGTGGGGAGAGGCAAGGAGAGAAGACTGTGTGTGTGTGTGTGTGTGTGTGTGTGTGTGTGTGTGTGTGTGTGTATCTTGGACAGCCATCCACAGTTGTGTAACTGTCAACATACCAAAGTCAGTTTGAAAGTGTTACTGGTGTTAAAGCTTATCTTTTAGCATGCTTTCTCTCTGCCTAGAAAGAATAGGTATGTGCATAAACTCTTTCAAGTCGCATTGCTAAATACTCTCATAAAGTCATTGTACCAGCCAAGTGCCAGATGTCCTAGATAGGACTTTGATGGAGATAGAAAAATCTAAGGACACCCCAGGAAACTGTGCTTTTCTGTTTGGTGCAAGTTGGGCAATCCATTCCCTAAAGTTTCTTTCAAGAACTTAAGAATATTTTCAGAATGGAGGGGAAAAAAAAGAGTATTCAAGTTAACCTGTGTGTGGACATGCTCATATGGTAGTAAAATGATGAAGTTAAGGACTCTGGTGTGATATGTGAGGGAAGATATTGGGAATTTAGTATAAGCACTATGTTTAGAATTCTTAGGAGTTGACCTTCAGAACATTTTTTCTTTAAATAGGCTACTTCTTTAAGCCAAGTTGCCTATGAATAGGCTAGAAAACAAATAGTTTGGGTTGGTTGTTTTAATTGGTTTAGTGTTTATCATTGGTGTCTTGAAAATGAAATTGTACATGTCATTTATTCTTTAAATTTAAGCATCAAAGGCCCCTCCCCCACATTTTTCTTGTATGCTTTTAAAGTTCTTTGGTTATTAAATTGTCACCATGGCTTTGTTCATTTACTTTATTTTTAATGGAGGTTATCTGTGCTTGGCACTTATATTGATATTTTATGTGTCCATTATGCAGAATTCTATTTAGTTTAATCACCACCTTGTGGGGGGAAAGTCATGCATACATAAAATGCATCTTTGTTCACTTTTCTCATTTCCTAGCATGGGTCCTTCAGAAGCCGCATGTACACCTTACAACCCACGCCAGGCTTTTCTCTAAGTTGCCAGACTTCCCCTTCTTTATTCAAAACTCAAAAAGGCCTTTGTCATCAATTTGCTATATCATTTCTGCCATTGTCTCAAACTTGCTATCTGAAGAATCTCTGTATTTAGTTATTAAGAAAATGTTATGTTATAATATGAAAATGGATAATATACATGATTATCACTACAGGTTTTAAGTGTGTGTATAAATTGGGAGAGACATCTATAAGGAATGTCTCAGTCCTTATTACCTAGTACATTCTAAAGCTTCAAATGGCACTTAGAATATTTCAATTTTCTGCAAAAACAGGTGTAAGCCTATTTTCATAAGAGTATTCTCACACTTTTATTTACTTAGTTAAGTAACATATTACTTTTTAAATAAGTAGAAATCAATATTTTTGGCATGCCACAGAGAATTTTCTGTGTTCTTTCTGCAGGTGAGAAATGCACTGATTTTTTTTTTTTTTGCAGGCATGGAGGAATTGTAAATGAAATGGCTGTGATTTGAGAACTCGATTTTGATAGGAAATTTAAGATTCTGCCAATACAGTCTTAGTTAATTGAAGTACTACCTTGTGCCAAATAGTTTTCTTCAAAATAAATATCAAAAGCTTCCTTAAGCTGTTGTAAGCAGAAATATCTTTGAAGGAAAAATTGCTAATTAAAAGGCATGAACACTTAAACATGCGGCAGGGAACAGCTTAGAGATTTTTGGGGAGGAGGGCGATAGCTAAATCAAACTATCTAATTTTCTCCACTGAACTACTGATTGTCAGACTGAATTATAGTATTCTTTGTTTATGATATCCCACCCGAAATATCATAAGTAGGTTAACTCACATTGCGTAGGCCCATTCAAAGATCACTTTCTGAAAGAAGTAAAAAAGTTCAAGCAGTTTCTTCAAATCATTTTATCGACAAAGACTGATAATAATCTAAGCAGGAAACTGTGCCAAACTTACACTCTCTCTCTCATAAAAGATTTTTCTGAACTATCTGGATAATTACCATAATGAAACACTTCTTTGTCCAGAATCTGGACTCCAGATAGATGCAGTAAAAGTTGTATCTCCCTCCCTTCTTTATTAAAGTGGAGCGATGAACCACTTTCTAGTTCATATTGCAGTGTTCCTTTGAAATTCTTTACTGAATATTCTTTTCTAGTAATATTAATCCATGAGCATCCTTATAAATCTCACTTGATCATAACTTGAGGTTTGTTCTTCTGGTATCTTTTTCTTGGTGGAATCTGCTATTGTACAGAAATTATCAAAGCATTTTTATAGATTAGATGCCAATTGGTACAATAAAATATTCAATATTTTAAAAATTCTGTATAGATTTTCATATTGACTAATGAAAAACATAGTACATGTGTATTTAATCAATAAATTTGGATTCATTGCTACATTAGTGTTTTTCTGTATTCTTGGTGATAATTGATAATGACAACTGCTGATCGAAAGGCTTCACATTGACTAGTTAAACCCAGATTAATGTTAAAATGAAAATGCTGTGAGACTCAACTGCAATTATAGTTGAAAGATTATGATTTAGTACATGTGCTGAGAAATGCAGGAGTTTTTGAAAATCTTAGTGGACAGGAGAGTATGTTTGACAAAACACTCCTTAATATTTTCTTTAGATCATGAATTGGGAAAGTACAAAAGCAATTGAAAAACATTTCCAAGTGATTTAACTTACATTATGATTATTTGATAATGTATTTTCACACATGGTAAACATATTCATATATATCTTGTTCATAAAACATGATGGTCATAAAATATTATGTCAACAAGTTATTATTTAACCTTGCTTAAAATGGTCACCTATCTTTATTTCTCAGTTTAGATCTAAGCTATCTAAAGAGATAATAATTTATGCCTCTTCTTGTTAGATCGCATAATTTTCCCCTTTGTTTTGTCCTATCTGTCACATCTCAGCTAAAAAGAACTAAAGTAGTCTTTAGTTTTTTTATTCTTTCACATAAGAACTAAAAGTATTCATTCTCTCTTTGCCCAAGACAGAAATAAATCATTAAAATATTAACCAATAGAGAATTGCAACAACAAAAAAAGGTTTAGTTGGGTGAGTTTCAAGGGAGTTACAGGATAGCTTGTTCTGAACAGACATAGTGAGCATGTTCAATTAACACCTACTATCCACTGAAGGTGAAAGAAATATGTCTTTCTACTTTCTACCCTAGGAAGAACACCCTTCTCTTGGCCAGGGCATGAGTCAGGGATACAGCTGTTGATACCTAGACTAGATGAGAGGAAGTCCAGCTGACTCAGTTGGGAGAGGAAGGCTGCCTGGGTATGACCTTGTGTCCATCATTCTTCTGAATCTCCGCTACAGAGATGTTCTTCCCATACATAGCAAGAGGGGCAGAAGGAAAGTTCAATGTTAAGGTGAACAAGGAGAGAAAAGATACTGCAGGAAGTTTATTCAGTGTGTTCATTGAAAATCTATGAACTCTGCAGATGATATTAAATAGAAAAGGATGTACACATACACACACAAAGCACAGAATAGGCCCAAAGAATCTCCTTTGTGATACCCTCTCCCAAATGCAAATGTTGAAAATAATTCAACCCTTCTCCTGTTCTCTCTCACACCTGACAACGACTCCTGATTTATCAGATTTCATGTGCAAGGGAAGTATCTGCCACTACATTTTTTGTGTATTCCTGGAGCCAGTTTTATTATTAGTGTACAAGGAGATGCAGTCATTCTGAATTTTGATCTTTGAATCCAATGAGTAAAATCAGTCAAACCTCTGTTTCCATCTCAACTTCTGGAAATTTTATTTTGAAGTGTACAAAATGTACTTCATCTTCAAGCATACAAAACTACATAGAAAGAAATATCATCTTTCTTTCATGATGCCCTAAAACTGGCTCCTTTATACATATATATATATATATACATATATGTATATATATATATATATATATATAATCTTCATATAGACATTGAGAGTATGAATACTGCATAAGGAAATCTTGGACATGATTAAAAAAAAACATATTGTTGCCATGTAAGCACTGAGCATTTTCTTGATTTTTACAGGTTATTTCATGCTGAAATTATGCCTATTTGCATGGATAGTCATTCTTTAAAACTAGCCACAGATGCAGTCCTAGGGAGCACGTAGATGTTTTTACAGGTGAACCGAAAGAGATGGGAGCTGTTCCAAACACTCTGCACGCTGCCTTTGGCAATAGACCCTGTTATTGTGAAGATGTGCTCTGTTAAGCAAACGTGAAGTTCAATATCAGATAAGCCTGGCATGAGAAAAAAATATTTTCCTCTTTTTTCACAAAACGTTCATTGTAAACAAAAAGATGTGACATCTTACATGTATTCAAAATTTGAGGTTAGCATTGCTACCTAATAAGTCCCACAATGTGTCAATTTCCTTTGATAAAATATAAGCAAGGTTATTCTCTCTTTATATCATGTGTCCAAGAAACAATAGAGACACTCATATACAAAGAAGGTATTTCCCTTTCTCACATATTTGATGCTGTTTTCTTTCTTTATGTATCTTCCTTTGGTTGCTTTCTCTGTTTAAGGCTTTTCTTTTCCTTTCCTTTTACTTGGCATAGGAAATAACATTTACAAATGGTATGTGTCAAATAGTTTCTTTAGCTATTTCAAGTTTAATTTTAGCATATACTAATAGATGAAAACCAGAACTGAACATGTATATATCCTCACTTAGTCCAATAATTTATTGTTCTACATTTTGATTTCTAAAATGTATCAACATCCTTCCTTTGCAGTGATTCCAACTTCTCATGATTAAAAGTAACAAAAAGGACATCATGAAAAATTACAACTATTCTCATAGTTACATTAAAATAAAGCAACAGACACAAATTGCACATATGATCTAAGAAAAAAAGGCTAACTCTGCTAACTAAGCAGACATGAAAAACTAGCATTTGTGCATTTATTTCAATGCTAAATTGACCATTTATGTTTGAAAGAGACTGGTTAGAGTGTTTGTGCCATTTCACATATGACAGAAATATTTTAAAATTCAATAACAAAGGGTGTGTGGCAAATATGTGCATGTATTGTAGGGTCTTTTTCCTTTGGTAACAGTAAAGCCCCAGAAACTTTAATGCCACCCAAATTTCACACAGCCTCAAAAATGTATCCTTCTTTCTTAAGGACGGACCACTTTTATCTTCTTTTATCATATGACTCAATGCCCAGAATTTAATCAATTGGTTGTCATAGGCTGTGTTCTTATAATCTACTGTTTCTTCTGAAGATAAACAGTATCATTTTAGGCATTTGTGAAAGAGAATCATATTACTGGTGCTTAAGCAGTTTTTGCTTTTTTTTTTTTAATCTTAATCCATCTTAAACCAGTGGAGCAGAAATATTTAAAAATGTTTCATTTCAAGCAGAGTGCATAATAAATTGCAATAATTGTAATGTGCCATAAATCCCAGAGCCTATGCATTTTGCATTTGATTCAGGATTGAGGTCAGGAAATTTGGAGAAATTTAAAGAAAATGATTCATCAGTCCTTTTGTTCTGTTGGCCAGGGTCCCGGGATTCTTGAGCTGTGCCCAGCTGACGAGCTTTTGAAGATGGCACAATAACCGTCCAGTGATGCCTGACCATGACAGCACAGCCCTCTTAAGCCGGCAAACCAAGAGGAGAAGAGTTGACATTGGAGTGAAAAGGACGGTAGGGACGGCATCTGCATTTTTTGCTAAGGCAAGAGCAACGTTTTTTAGTGCCATGAATCCCCAAGGTTCTGAGCAGGACGTTGAGTATTCAGTAGTACAGCACGCAGATGGGGAAAAGTCAAATGTACTCCGCAAACTGCTGAAGAGGGCGAACTCGTATGAAGATGCTATGATGCCTTTTCCAGGGGCAACCATCATTTCCCAGCTGTTGAAAAATAACATGAACAAAAATGGTGGCACCGAGCCCAGTTTCCAAGCCAGCGGTCTCTCTAGTACAGGCTCCGAAGTACATCAAGAGGATATATGCAGCAACTCTTCAAGAGACAGCCCCCCAGAGTGTCTTTCTCCTTTTGGCAGGCCTACTATGAGCCAGTTTGATATGGATCGCTTATGTGATGAGCACCTGAGAGCAAAACGCGCCCGGGTTGAGAATATCATTCGGGGGATGAGCCATTCCCCGAGTGTGGCATTAAGGGGCAATGAAAATGAAAGAGAGATGGCCCCGCAGTCTGTGAGTCCCCGAGAAAGTTACCGGGAAAACAAACGCAAGCAGAAGCTGCCCCAGCAGCAGCAACAGAGTTTCCAGCAGCTGGTTTCAGCCCGAAAAGAACAGAAGCGAGAGGAACGCCGACAGCTGAAGCAGCAGCTGGAGGACATGCAGAAACAGCTGCGCCAGCTGCAGGAAAAGTTCTACCAAATCTATGACAGCACTGATTCTGAAAATGATGAAGATGGTAACCTGTCTGAAGACAGCATGCGCTCCGAGATCCTGGAAGCCCGGGCTCAGGACTCTGTAGGGAGGTCAGACAACGAGATGTGTGAACTAGACCCAGGACAGTTCATTGACCGGGCTCGAGCCCTGATCAGGGAGCAGGAGCTGGTGGAAAACAAGCCCAAGAGAGAAGGGAACAACAAAGAAAGAGACCACGGGCCAAACTCCTTACAACCCGAAGGCAAACATTTGGCCGAGACCTTGAAACAAGAACTGAACACTGCCATGTCGCAAGTTGTGGACACTGTGGTCAAAGTCTTCTCGGCTAAACCCTCCCGCCAGCTTCCTCAGGGTTTCCCACCACTGCAGATGCCCCAGGCCAGATTCGCAGTCAACGGGGAGAACCACAATTTCCACACTGCCAACCAGCGCCTGCAGTGCTTCGGCGACGTCATCATCCCGAACCCCCTGGACGCTTTTGGCAACGTGCCGATGCCCAGTTCCACAGACCAGACAGAAGCGCTGCCCCTGGTGGTTCGGAAAAACTCATCTGACCAGTCTGCCTCTGGCCCGGCCGCTGGCGGCCACCACCAGCCCCTGCACCAGTCGCCTCTCTCGGCCACTGCAGGCTTTACCACCTCCACCTTCCGCCACCCCTTTCCCCTTCCCTTGATGGCCTACCCATTTCAGAGTCCCTTAGGTGCTCCCTCCGGTTCCTTCTCGGGCAAAGACAGAGCCTCTCCTGAATCCTTAGACTTAACTAGGGATACGACGAGTCTGAGGACCAAGATGTCATCCCATCACCTGAGCCATCATCCCTGTTCACCAGCACACCCTCCCAGCACGGCCGAGGGGCTCTCCTTGTCCCTCATAAAGTCCGAGTGTGGAGATCTGCAAGACATGTCTGACATCTCACCTTATTCGGGAAGTGCAATATCCTTTTCTTCCCCCCCCCCCCAAGGAACAAACCAAACCAGACCAGGTTTCCCCAGAGGTTAGGTTTCTACATGATGCTATAGAGTGGGAGTGGAGGGGGAAAAGTCTCTTCTTAAGGAGGTGAGCTTCTCTATTGCGTGCGCATGGTAGGTTTCTGTCAGCTCTGAGTGAGGCCTTTTTCTGATAGCAGGGAAACTTCCATCCACCTCTTTGCAACTTTCATCACTTGCTCGTCTCAGAGGGGTGGTCTTCCATAGGGGTGTTTGCACAGCACTGTGTGTCTTTTTGCAGTGTGTCCTGTATTGGTTTATCCTCTTTCCTCTTTTCTTTTTTTTTAAAGAGTAGATTCAGAAATGGAAAAATCTCTCCTTGTAAAATACTGCCTTTTCTCAGTTATTTTACAAAGGTGGCAAGTTTTAGTCTAGTGGCAGAAGAGTCTGTTTTTAGATTCCTTGAAGAAGAATTTTCTCACTTTACACGGTCTGCAAGACCCCTGGCTCCTAATTAAATCTCATGAAGAGCCCTTGATTGGAAGGAAACTGCTGTGGGGAAGGGGCTGAAGGAAGGACCTGGGTGGGGAGCTCCATTTTGCCTTTAATCTTTAAGTGAGACTTAAAAAAAAGAAAAGGAAACATGCAGGTACTGATTTATTCAGGCGGCATCAGTCTCTCCCGTTCACCCAAGGTCTGTTCTTTGGGTCTGCTGCAGCTGCTTCTACGCATGATTAACCTCTGCTCAGCCATACACAGAAATCTTTTGTCCTAACATACACAAAGCAAATTATTTTGGAAAGCAAGAGAGCACAATTAAATATAAAACTCAGCTGTATTCGACTTTAAAATGGCTCTCTTGCTATGACTCCTTCCAATTCTGAAGCTGACTTTTATGTAGAGATGACAGTTATATTTTTTAGTAGACCTATCCTGCACTCCAGCTATTTTTAGCCCCATGATTTTAACCCCCTCTCTATAAATTGGTCGTTTCAGTAAATTTTTTAAAAATCTTGTGACTGTTAGTCTTTTAGGGTAGTAGAATAATAGCATTTGGGGGCAGGTGGAGGCATGTTTCTTGTATAATAAATTACCAGATGGATATAAAATTTAGCAATTAAGTTGGCTGTTGCTAAATTGAGGATTTTGAGCAATCGTCTTGATGACTAGAGATTGACATTTTAGTATCGAAGCCCACTCCAGAAACTGCCGTGTAAGTGCCAAGTCCCAGCTATGGTAGAAATGTTTTCCTAGGGTCATCCTCTTGAGATGGTTAGAAAAGTCATTGGTAAGGAGAATTGGATCCATTAACATGAGACCCCCTTGGGCATTAAACATGGAGGCTTGTTCCATAGTGAAGAGAAGACTGAGGTAAATGGGAAGAGAAAAATGTTAAGGTTTTACATTTGAGTCTTGGCTTCAGTGCTGTAGCAAACACCCTACCTTTGGTCCATGGCAAACAGGCAATACATTTTGGTCAATGTGATTAGAATGTACTTGTTGGTGATGAGCATAACAAAGTAACATACAATGGCTCAAATGGTTTGATTTTCACCCTTTGCAAGAAGAGCATCTTTTCTAAATTTGTACCTGGATTATAATGTCTAGGCTAGACTCTTGTACCTCAAAGATCTCTGAACTTAATTTTGAAAATAGTAATAATTGCAGATATCTCTCTCTCTCTTTCTGTTACTGTCTCTTGCTTACACATAGAGTAAAGGGACATGTGTGCTCATTTTCATAAATATTTGAAGGCAAGTGTCAAGTCCTACAAGTCCACACTAAACTCTTGTTCATAATATATTCTTTAATTTAAACTTACTATAATTAGGACTTGAACTCAGGGCCTGGACACAGTCCCTGAGCTCTTGTGTTCAAGGCTAGTGTTTTATTTGAATCAAGCCCTACTTCCTGCTTTTTGGTAATTTGTTGGAGATAATAGTTGCACAGACTTTCGTGCCTTGGCTGGCTTTGAACCATGATCCTCATATGTCAGCATCCTGAGTACCTAGGATTATAGGGGTGAGCTACAAGCAACCGGCTAATTGTAGTGTGTGTGTGTATGTGTGTGTGTGTGTGTGTGTGTGTGTGTGTGTGTGTGTGTGTCCTGGAGCTTGCACTCAGGACTTGGGCATTATCTCCGAGCTTTTGTGCTCAAGGCTAGCACTCTACCACATGATCCATAGCTCCACTTCCAGCTTTTTGATGGTAATTGGAGTTAAGAGTCTCATGTACTTTCCCACCCAAACTGGCTTCAAATTGCCATCTTTAGACTTCAGCCTTCTGAGAAAGTAGGATTACAGGCATGGGCCACTCCCTGCACCCAGCTAATTATGACTTTTAAAAAAATCTTTTAGATTGCTTTAAATGTCAGCTATACTTATTGTTTTACTCCTTCTCCCTAAATCCCCTGAGGAATTTTGAGGCTTTGAATGGAAAGATGTTCCATCAATTTCTTAACATAGCAAATGCTGTAAAGAAAACACAGTTGCCTTTTCTGCACAGAACAACCTCCCCTGGTGCCCACCAACATAAGATTGTGTTGAATGGTAATTAAAGGAAGTAGCCACATTGCCTGAATTGTCCACTCTTTACCTGGAGCTGTTTCTTTACTATGATTTGTTGCAAATAATGATTACTTTTTCTGCTCTTTGCCCTTCTAATCTCTGGCTTTTGCTCTTTCTTTTTTAAGACATTGTACTTTTAGCCATTCATATCTTAAAGCCATTCATATCTTATTTCTCAGAAGAAGAAGATAAAAAAGTCTTTTTTCACAGTTCTGAAACAACTGAGAATCTCCATCTTCTTCGGTAGATTGACCACTTTGCTCCTGTCTCTAACTCTGTATGGCTATATGTCTTCCTTGGATTATCTGATCACATATAGAATTCTACTATCTTATGAAATTATTTTGTCTATTCAATTATAGACCAAATTCTTAAGTTTGAGGACATTTCAGGAACTCAAGTCAAGCTTTATGGAGTTTTATTTGAATGTGTTATATGACTATTCCTAGAAAAGATCAATAGAAATAAGTAGAAATGAATGAAATGTCATTGTAATGTTTCTATTTTTATCTCATTATTTTCAAAATTGTTATAAATCATTTTTTTCGCTGGGGTGCTAAAGAGTAAACCCAGGTTCTTGCATATGCTAGGCAAGTACTACCATTCAGCTATGTCCCCTATCCTAAATAATGTAATTCTTTAGGCATGCTCTTTCCATACTCCAAAGGGCAGCATCTGTTTTTTGAACAAAGTAGCCAAGATAAGAACTACTAAGACCATCAGCTTATCTAATAAATCCATTCTAAGTTGAGTACATTAAACATATATGTTCTAAATAATAGAGCACACTATCTCATTATCCCCTTTAGTAGGAAGGAAATCGTGTGTGTGTGTGTGTGTGTGTGTGTGTGTGTGTGTGTGTGTTAAACTGAATGTCAATGCATCTGGCCAAAGAGCTCATGTCTTAGAAATAAAAACTGTACTCAGTATCTTTGCAAATGAATCTCTTTAATCAAATATTAAGTTTTATTCAAATACCAAAAGAAAGACCCAGCCAATTGCTTTTCTTCATGATGTTCCTTGTCATCCATCCTCTTTGCATCTCAAGAAAAATAGCCTTGGTTAGGCCTCAAACATTTGCATGTACCCAATTAAAGGACAAGAGTAGTATTATAAGCCATTAAGATGTGCAGGTGAAGACACTGACGGTGTGACAGCAAGCTTTCCTTTACAGGACCTTTAAAAGAAATGTTAGACATACTTGAAGTGTAAAAGGAATATTATTTAGTGCTGTGAAATTAAAGTCCAACTGGAAAACATGGATTAAACTGGAATTTCAAAAATGTGTAATAATCCACAGGTTTATCTTTTACATTTTTAAGAAGCCTGTGTCACCTTTGTGATTCTATTAGTTGTAGTTATCATGAAATAATATAGAGTCTGAAAGACTATGGGCTCTTCACTGCCCCAACCTCCAGATAAAAAAAAAAAACAGTCAATTTTTTTTAATAAAAGAAATCTCCAGAAACTATAGATCCCTCTGATTATGTCAAACTTCCTGAGGCTTGTAATCAAATGACAGAATTAGTATCTTGTCTCTCTTTCTAGGGAAAGCCTCTTAGAAACTGCAAAGAGGAGAAATAAGGGAAAACTAAAATTCTTTGCATGTCCAAGTGCTTTAGAAAAATGTGAGATCCTCAACCTATTTGCTTAGACTGAGGCATTAAACATCAGCCACAACCCAGAGTTCAACTGGGGGGGGGGGAATTTCCTCCTTCCAGCCTTTACAACCTATTATTCTTCCATTTGCCTTTCTGCTGCCCTGGCTGCTCCTCCCGCTGCCGTGTTTAGGTAAGGTTATATTGTGCTTGGTAAACAGACAACACTTAGATTCTCAGGTTGTTTGGACACTGAATTAGATTCAGCTGTACTCTCTTGCTTCTCGTGATCTTTTTTTTGTATTCCTGAGCAGATGTCTTTCATTAATTTATGGATTTGTCATCTTTTCTTCCTTCCTTTCTTCTTCTTTTCTTTTTTCTTTCTTTTTCTCCCTTTCTTTTCTTTCTTTTTTTTTTTTTTACACCTGGCAGCTGTCTCAAGTTTCAGCAGTTATTGTCTATTTTGCATTACACATAGAATTGAATGTCATCTGTCTTCACAATGCTAAGAGAATTGAGGCAAAGCCACATGAACTGCCGGACAGATCTTGCTTGCGTTCCATCCCCCTCGCCCCTGCCCCCACCCCTACCCCCTTTACCTCCTTAATATTTATTTGTGCTCATTTTCTTTCCTGGCCTTGAATGGAGCTTAGCTCGTGTTCAGTACAGCTGTATGTTTACTGAATCTATTCCATCATGAGTCATTGTGCGTGTGTAAGTATCCAGGAAACAGCTAGTGCTTTCTTGGAAGAACAGTTGCTTTTCAGCACAAGCACTTAAAAGGGAAATTAACCAATTGGTCAGTTCAGATTTATTTTGAGAAGAAAAAAAAAGATTATCTAGCTGTTGGCTTTTAAATGTTTCATTAGCTATTTTTAATAGTTTATTAGAAACATCTATGTTATGGGAATTTTAGCTTGATCTCACAATGAACAAAAGATAAAGATTTATTCTGTGTTCCATGTCAACCGATCGATTCCAAGTATTTCCAGCAGGAAACAATTTGAAGCAAAAAATGAACTTGAGAAATCCAAATCACAGTAGTTTATTTTTTTTCATTAAATAAAACAATCTCTGAATCCTGATTTTTTAAAAAAACCTACTGGATTAAAAAAAAATAAAAATAGCTAAACCATGTTAGTAAAATTTTGATGAACCAAAAGCGTAGGGGAAGGCGAGGGAAGTGAGTGTTGGTGCTCTGTGCCTGAGCCACAGAACAAAACAATTTGTCTTTTGTATTGGACCAAATCTTGATAGGTTTGAAGATTTACAATTACCCATATATACAAGGTTGTTTTCATGTAGCCTTCTGAAAGGAAAGATTAGAACCCAGATCTGAGGATATTTATTCAAGTTTGCACTTGTCTAAAACTCTTATCATGAGGCACTAGGAGACAGCTTGCAACTATTATTTTACTTTTCCATTTGGACAGATGGTCCTGAAGTGTGCCGTGCTCCTTTAGTTTTCTCTATCAGTCTAATGGAGGTTACTGGAGGGCCTTTCAGCTCTTTCCTTGGCACAAGAAGTATGTCAGTCATAAATTATCGTCTTTGTAATCATTAAGAACCTTAAACAAAAACACAAGTTCAGTTAAGCTGCTTTGGCTTACAGAGACCAAAATCAAAATTTCTTTCTTCAGTATTTATTTTAATTTAACCCACACAGACTGTAATACTTTTCTATTTGCAAACCAAGGTGATCTTTTTTTTTTTTTTCAGTGTCAAGGGATATGAAAGGAGATGTTAATTGAGCAAATTCTCAGCAGAATATTTGGTTAAACGCTCTGTTACAAGCAGTCAAGAGCTTATCAATATTAATTTGATTATGTGTCTCTAGTCCTTTGCAGGTTCCTTTCCATTCTGATGATTAGTCATGCTGTATTTGATGGAGAACATTGGGAAACCTTTGTTTTTCCTAAATGTCTGTGTTTATCTGATCTTTCTTTCCAAGGTGTGAAATTTTGGTTCAGTAGCTAATGGTGTGTGTGTGTGTGTGTGTGTGTGTGTGTGTGTGTGTGTGTGTACACGTACCTATGCATGGACACATTTTGTTTTTTATTTTTTTTTTCCACTCATTTTTCTCAAACTCTCCTTTAAGAGAAAAATCCTTAGAGAAGCTTCTAGGAAGGACCCTTAATTGACCTTGTGGGGGACCACATTGATTTTCTCCACGTGCATCTTCATTTCTGATAAATTATAAAGCCATTAATTTGCTGAGGAAATGGCAGGGCCAGGCTGCGGCACAGATGTGACCAGAGCCATCCCAGCTCGGAGTCTGCTGAGAAGTGCCAAGAATCTGGGACAGAATCAGGAAGCCTGGATTGTTATGGTTAGCCTCGCATTCTCTTGGGAACTGTTGTAGTTGCTGCTGTTTACAGATCTAAAAGGTAATGATGTTTCCAGATAAATAGGCCTTCTTATTTGGGGTAAGTGGCCATTTATTGATCTGCTAACCCACATTTATTGATTTGTTAGCCCCAACTACTATGTCACTCTCCAAGGAGTTAACTATCAATCCAGGACAAGCAAATTGTATTTGATTTTGGACGGTCGCTTTAACAAAAGCGACACCCCCCTTCTCCACTCTCTCAGTGCCAAAACTACCCCCCACTCCAGTCTGAGCTGTAGTTTTTAAAGGCAACAATTAAAGGACATAATAATAATAAGACAGGAAGAAACGCAGTCAAGAAGACCTATACTAGGTCAGCAATAAAGGGTAAAATGTGAAACTTGCATAACCATATTGAAAATAATGTTCTTCATATTTTGACATGTCTGTAAACCACACAGAGAGAAGCAACAAACAGAGCTGTGATTGTAGAGAAGGAAGGAAATGTGACAAGAATTGTACAGTACATGCTGAGTGCATTTGTCCCCCTAGCAACAGGTGAATGTATAGATAGCATAAGGATATGGAACAAAGAAAGAGAGGGAGGGCTTGGCCATCCTCACCAGGAAATAGCTAATAATTTGCAACTAAATTCTGTGTTCACTCCATTCCTAGCAGGCAATGGATATTAAGTAAACAGTAGCAACTTAGCAATAGATTCGGTAGCTAATACTGAGGACCTTTGGGCCTATCCGGGGCTGCTCTAGACCCGTTGAGGGAGAGGATTGTGGAGTGGGAGATGGGAGGAGAACTCCTTGTTGTTTATGGAATTTTTATTCAATTTGATATTTTTTGCCTTAACCAATTGCATCCTACATGCAGGAAGGATTATCACCTAATCACTTGAAAAAAGCAAAGCTCATGTTCTTTTATACCCGTTATCCCAGCTCCAATATGCTGAAGACCTACTTCTCTGATGTCAAGGTAGGCATATTCTTTATTAGTAGTTTTTTTTTCCTATATATGAACTCTCAGAACTTTCTAGGATTTGAACTTTCATAAGTTAATGGAGATGAACTTGGGATCCAATTATTAATGCACCTGTGTTGTAATTGGTTGAATACACTTGTCCTTTTGTCTAGAGGTGCGCTGAACAAACATGTCATTTGGTTTCTTAAGACTGAAGGACTGGTTTCAAAGTCACATGGGTTTCTGGCATAGCCCAGGAAACTTAGATCCTGTCTTTATATGTTTCAGTTGCTTCCTGGAAGAAATTTCCACTGGTAATGGATGGATGTGCTTTCAAGAATTTTTTTTTCCCCTTCTCTGTTGCATCACTAAAAATGTTTCTGTTTTGGTTTCTCTTGGTTTCTCCATATTTGCGCCTATGAAAGCAAACTCTAGCACCTCTTCCCTCCCCCCCCCAGTTGAAAAGGAGCGTACATTGAAATTCTCTATGCAGTAGCTGCTTAAAAACAAAAGTGATGATTGTCTCTTATTTACAACTTAATTTGTTGTTGATGTAGAGTACACTGAGCATAAGGAGAATGAATAAAGTGACAGATTCAGGACACATTATTCAAATGAGGATATGAAAGCTGTCGGCCTACAGCTGCAGCCTCCCTTATTCTACAGAACATTGGGAGCTCCTGGTTCTGTGTGTGTGTGTGTGTGTGCACGCGTGTGTGCATGTCTGTGTTGTGTGTGGATTTTAAGTAATTGTTTGCATCAACTTGATGTTGTGTTAATCATCAGTAACTTTTTAAAGCATAGATTGGATTTTGATGATGATAATGACATGCGTGGTATCATTATCTAAGGAACTTGATTAACATTACATTAGCTGAGATTTAGTTTATTAGGGTTGGGTGGCTTTTCTGCACTCCTTGCCTGCTCACCCCCATATGTACAAGTTCTTATTTCTGTCACTGAGAACTCACAAGCTGCCAGAACATGCACACTCACCTCCCGTTCCCCTGCCTGCACGCAGCCTGTTTGTGCCTGAATCGTGCCCAAGTTGTGTCCCTGGCCCCATTTTGCAGGCCTACTCATTTCAGTTCCCTTCAGGGACATTTTGATTTGGCCTTCTAGGAGAAGTTCTGTTTTCAATCCTGTTTGCTTTTGAATTGTATATCAACGTTAGCCTGTTGTTCTTTCTCCCTTCTTTAAGTGGAAGACATGTTTGTCCTCACCCAGGGCCAATCAGTTAGTCTATGATAACAGGATGAAGAAGGCAGAGAAAGTCAGCAATGTAAAGAGCTGGCTAAGAATCATTAAGCATACAACTGCTGAGAGCAACAGGAGGCTAAATAAAGGGTCAGTCTAGAACAGATAGAATTTGTTCATTGGCAGGTGACTGGCCAGCTTCTAGAGCCTGCTAGAAGGTGGCAGAGTTTGACTTCCAAGGTTGACTTCCCCCTACTTTGCTTCTAAGAGGAGAACATGAAAGAGAGGGAGGGGAGGATTATTGTATGTACCATGTATGCGTGTGTGTTAGCGACTTCACTCTTCTGTGTGGCATGATCTGGGGCAGTGGGATATCATTATTTATATACCACCTTCCATCCATCAGGAAGCCAAAGAGTTTTGCAAGGCGCATATGTAAGGATTACTCTTACCCATTATTGAAGGGCAGCCACCTGAAGGGTAGAAACATCAGCCATTCTGAGGCAGCAGTCCCCCCCAACAAGAGATGTGAACATTAGAAACATTTATGTTTTTTGTGTACATGCACATGTGGGGGGGGGGAAGGTCAGGTGGGGAAGATTGATGATTAATCAGTGGTTTTATCAAAACGACATAATACAGACCCACAAGAAAATATTTCCATTCCTTCAGAAAACATCTAGTAAGTGAGTCTTACCCCCCAAAATACTACCTATTCAGCATAAGTATCAATAAAATTCATGGGTCAATATTTTATTTTATAAAGCACTAATATTCAGATCATAGATTCTTACCCATACTTTAACTATTCTGGGAGAAAAAGGCTGTTAAAATGTATGTGAGTCTGGTTAAATAACAATTAACCATGCTAATGGAGAGGAAACAGAAGGACATATAATACATTGTGAAAAAAATTACTGAAGGTCATTTCTCTTATTTTTGTAATGAAGTATGCATTTTAAACTTTCCTAATTATGTTTTTGTTAATCTGGCTAATAATTAATGAATTTGGATTCCCTGAGCTTGTATTGATTGAGAACAAAATACCATATGTAGAAGGGCAAAGGTGATCTGGGCAAAATGGTCCAGAAACTTTTAGAAACAATGGCAGAGCATTCTGAGACTTCTTTCAGGTTAAGGATGATTCTGAATTTGAATGTTGACATTATGTATGTATGAGTGTTTACATTATATGTATGTGTGTGATATACATATATATGTATGTATGTATATATTATGCTATGAGGTATGAATATATGTACTTTATATAGTTGCATGTAAATATGAACAGTTCTTTGTAAGGCCCACATCCTCTAGTTTTATTTTGCTCAGGACTCCAGAAACTACTCCAGGAATGAAGAAGCACTAGGAATAAGAAAAGAGACCTTAGTATTTCTATCAGAAATGAAACCTGTATTATGTAGCTTGTGTTTGTGGACCAAGTACTGCTCATGCCAATAACATAAATCTAAACTTCATTATGTCCACATTTATCTAAGAAAATTTCTAATTTGAGTAAAATGTACTTTCCCAAAGTATAAAGCCATTTCACTTGAAATAATATCCAGAAATTAGTTTTTCACATAAAAGAAAATAAGAACAGAAAAACAGCAAAAGCATAAACTATCTTGTTTCCTGAAGAAGAGGAAGCCTAGATGGTCATCAGAGTACAGCCAAAAATACTGCTAGATGGAGCTCATCCAGGCTCTCACCAAGCAGTCTTTCTGTTTCTCCTAGATATGGTTGCAGGCTTCAAGTCCCCCAGGTGACTTTCACTGGGGAAGGCGTAAGATGCTTTTCAATGACCTGGGAAAGAAAGGGGTAGAGGGAAATCATACAGTTTAGAGATTCTGGCCCAGTATCCGTGCATACAAAGCCTGAACCCCAGGCCAACTCTGTGCAGCTTCTCTAGAGTAAGAATCTGAACCAAGTTCTGTGTTCTCACAGAGAGTCCAACTTAATTCCCTCACAATGACATTTAGGCAGACAAAAAGCTCAGCTCGTTGGGGCTTCAAATCCTTTGAGAAAAGCAAGTACACAAATGTGAGAGATGCTTGGGGGCGCATGGGTGGCACTGCCTTCCTGTTCAGTACTGGGTGCTGATTTTAATGTATAAACTAATAACTCCTAGGCCACTAAGTACAACAGATTCAGTGTCATTTCAACTTTGAAGAACAGACGCTCCCAGCCTTTCAAGTCGGCAGTGTTAAATGATGTATCTCGTCCTCTCCACCCCTTGAGTCAACTGCTGCCTGGCCGGATTAAGGTGTCAGGTTGATTTGTTTTATACATCTTTTGACCATGCTCATTGAATATTTAGGAAGTTTCTCCAGCCCATATTGAGGCTGAGATGTCCCGTGGGAAGCATTAATCAAAGTCACAGAGACCCGTACACTGTAGAAACACAGTCTCTTTATTGTAGCGATTAGTTTTTGCAGTAACACATTAACACACTACAGAGCTTGCCTTTATAGAACAATTGATCCTTTTCTTGTAAGCCACTACAGAACACAGCAAATTAACTCTTTAAAGTTTAACACTTTTCCTCTTCGGATACAAATATCTAAAAGACAGAGGGCTTGCTTTAGCCACTTAGGAAAAAAGCAAACAAGCAAACAAATTTCACTTCTGGTCGAGGGAGACTCTTGTTCCTACATCGTTGGTGCTGGTCATTTGGCTTGGATCATGTTTGGGGAGGCTGTTGTTTCTGTCCATTCTTTCTCTCTGGTATTTCCATTCTCCAACAATAAGCTTTAAATCTCCCTTTATGTCCCATTCGTAAATAATGGCAAGTGCACTTACTTTTTTGTCCTCCCCCATTAGGTCATTCATGACCATTCTAGAAAAAAAAATACCCCTTCTATTTTTTTCCCCTCTACAGTACTCTTGTCCATATGAGACAATGTCTTGTAACAATGCAGAAGCCTAATCTCCATGTCAAAGCAATTTTCATTCCCCAGTGCACAGCCTGCTATCATTTTGTAATGTTTTGTTTCTTATTCTAAAAGAATTAAAAAGGAACAGTAAGCCGTCACGGGGGCCTGTAGTCCTTATCTCAGTGTCTGGAAATTTGGACAGTGTATTTTACTGCTGAGATAAAATGGAAAGAACTCCAAGTTCAGCAAATCGTAATGGGTTTAAGTTCTATTGAAATCGGCAACCAGAAGATCAGATAACGGGGTCCTTCAGTTGTCTTTTTAATCGGGTTCCCCGCGAGGCTGAATAGAGGCAGAGCAGACACACAGAGTAAAAATATAATTCTTGGATAGGTTAAGTACATGTTTGAACTCTTGCAAGCAGAAGCGATTTGCTGATGACTTAATCATTTTCTGGTCAATTATCTGTAAGGGCCCTTGCAAGTCCATGGCAATTATGATGCAAGTTGGCCTTTTGGGAGAAACACCAGTCTCCTTGCTTCTGTTTCCTTGTTACTTGTATTCTCTGCCATAAATTTTCATTCATTTATTATCATTGCTAGTATAGAAACAACTTTCTGTGTAGTAATTACAGCCCCCATACACACTTTAGCTGTCATCTTGTTGGAGTCTGGATGTTCTCATGGCTACTATTTGATAAGTGCTCTTTGTGGATTTTTGATGAATGTACATCGTTTTTGTTTTTCTGGGGGCCCAGGGAAGGGGATGCCTGTGATGACAAAAGGCAGGGGGGTGTCTGTCAGCCTGCTTGACATAAAGCTATGGATTTATTTGTTTTGACTTGGCAAGTTAAGACACATCTGTCCTTTACGTGAACAGAGGTCTGTCAATAAGGATGGTATCATTTGCTGTGCATCCAGGAAGACATCTTTATTTCAAAGGTCATCTGGGAAACCTTGGTAAACAAAGTTTGAAAGCCTAATCATGTTATAGTAACTTGGCATTTAAAAAAATGTAATAAAGGTTCTCTCTAGGCCATCTGTGTACTGTGTCTTAACCACACCCCCCAAATGGCACAGACACCAAGGGAAAGGGCCATCGGTCCTAGTCAATGCTGCTGCAGGGAGACAATGAGCAGGTAGCAGGGTATTTTCCCTTAGCCATGGATGGAGGACTAGACCACACCAGAAAATAGCATTGAGAAAACATGCGAAGTAATAGCTAAATGAGCCTAGGGATCACTCATGACTAGAAATAAATCAATAAATAAGCAAAAACAGATTCATTGTGTTTTGTTGGACAGCCATTTTCTTTAAGTGAAGAAGTCTAGAATGGGATGACATGAATCTTCACTTTTATAAAAGAGTAGAACTGGAGCTATCATTCAGTGGTAGAGCACCTGCCTAGCATGTGTGAAGCCTTAGATTCAGTCCTCAGCATTGCACACACACACACACACACACACACATGCACGCATGCAGGGATGCACGCAGGCACATACACACATATAAATGCATGGCATAGTAATCACATGGTTCAACTTATGGCCTTTTATTTCTGAGAATAACAAGTCGTCCAGGATTCTATAGTGTAAGTGAATTTCCATAAGCAGTATACAGATGGCTGTGGTATAGTGGACATGCCTAGACTCAAAATATTCTCCCAGCACTGGGGAGACTGAGGCAGGAGGATCTAGATTTCAAGGCCAACTTGAACTCTATGGCAAGACTCTGCCTCAAAAAAAAAAACAATAAAAACAAAGAGTATACAAATGTAAATCACTCTACTGTGAGATAAAGCACAATTATCTCTTTAATTAAAGATATTCAGCTTTAGGAAAACCTGATTTAGCAAGGAAGTAGTCCAGTTGATGTGTAGGTACTTGTGATTATTTTCATTACCAATATTGGTGTTTTTTGCCAATGTTTTTTTATTGTCAAGGTGATGTACAGAGGGGTTATAGTTACATAAGTAAGGTAATGCTATCTCTCTTGCTGCCATTTGGTAAAACAAAATGCATACCTTTTCAGATAAGGCAGAGAGGTAAACTTTAAAGATACTCAGATACTTAAAAAGTAAATGAAGAGCCAAGTGCTGCTGGCTCACACTGTAATCCTAGCTACTCAGGAGGCTGAGATCCAAGGCTTACGGTTCAAAGCTAGCCCAGGCAGGAAAGCCCATGAGACATTTTTTTTTCAGTTTGTAAAAATCTTTATTGAACCTTATATTTATTACAAATACTTCTTCCAGGTGCTAATTTACAGATTTGAGCTTGTATCTGTAGTCCTTATTAGTCAGGAGGCTGAGATTTGAGGATCAAGGTTTGAAGCCAGCCTGGGCAAAAAGTCAGTGACACCCATGAGACTTTTATCTACTGATGAATTACCCTCCCCCAAAAAGCCAGAAAGAGAGCTGTAGCTTAAGTAGTAGAGCACTAGCCTTGAGCAAACAAAGCTCAGGGACAGTGCCCAGACTCTGAGTTCCAACTCAGAGGACATGCACCAAAACAAACAAATAAATAATAACTAAATAGAATAAAATGACAATATTCTTATCTCTTTTTTCAATGTTTAAATTTAACAGTTCAACAGATGCATTACCTCTCAGCTCATCAAGTGGTTTAGCAATTTCCGTGAGTTTTACTACATTCAAATGGAGAAGTACGCACGTCAAGCCATCAATGATGGAGTCACCAGTACAGAAGAGCTGTCCATCACCAGAGACTGTGAGCTCTACAGGGCTCTGAACATGCACTACAACAAAGCAAATGACTTTGAGGTAGGAACTAATCTTCAACTTGGGTCATCTCCACTTTCCTTAAAAAAAAAATCTATGTCCATTAGTAATGTCCCTAAGCCTACTTTTGTGATAGTTACTTATGAAGCATGCAACATGAGAGTGAGCAGGAGACCAGTTAAGAGGAACTTCCCATCAGAATCATGGGAAGCTGACACTAACATTTCTGGTCTCTATTTGCTGGCTTCTGAGCTTGTGTGGAAGAGAGAGACCCACTTGGCCAAAGAAAAGGGTAATAGGGAGAAAATAAAGTGATTTCCCTTTCAAGGAAGGGCTCCCTGTCCAATAGGAGCACATTTAGATTCTGGGATGTCCGCTGAGCTGATAAATGCTATGTGCAATAGTAGCTACAGAAGTTGTTTTCCATGGTTTCTAACTTCAACATTTATTTATTTCACGGAAGAAGTGGTAGGAGAATGCCCTAAGTCTATAGCATTTCCTGTATAGATGTAAACAATCCAGTAACATCTTTTTGTCTGCTTTATTTTTATTTCTCTTCCGGCTGTGTGGGGAAGAGAGGCACATGTTTTGTTCTGCGCGCACAGACCTTTCCAAGCTTGTGGCGCTTCAGCCATATACTCCTGTTCACTCTTAGCTATCTCTACAATGTGCGCACCATGTAATATGGACAATTCCCAGGAAGCCATCTCCATGCCACAATGAAAGTTGTGCAGCTATGAGTAAGGCCTTTCTTTATAGGCAAATGTGGTGCCGCAGCAAACAGTTTTTAACGCCACATGATGATTCTGTGAGACAACACGAGCAAATCCCCCAGCACTCACAAAAGCATTTTGCTGAGTCCCACAGGCTGAGCCAACAATAGTGGAGTTGGGAATACCGCAAGAGTTCTGCAAGCCAAACCCCAGAGGAGGAGACTCAACAGGGGGTGGCTTGTCAAAGTTGGTCCATTTCTTGTGACTTCTTGGCTACGTGTTGGACCAGTCAGGACAGGAATTTTAATCTGCTTATTCCAGGGAATTTCTGTTAGCATTCCTGTATCCCTGTTCCAGATAAGTATCCAGGAGTGCTCAGGAACTTTCTAAATTTTGAATGAGAAAGGGGCCATGGTTTGACCATGCTGGCCCATTTTTTGAGGCCTTTTTTCTTCCCTATGGTCCTAGGCAAAACTGGCTAATAACCATCAGTTGGGGAAACTTATAAGGAACTGAGTGTGAACGCTTAGAAATGGGGAATTCACACTTTTGATATGCTTGTTAATCCAAAATGGTACTGAATGTTTTTCTTTAAGTGAACTCACTAAAGGTAGGGATTTGGAGAATGTGTCATGTACTCTTTCAAAACCTGTCTTTTTCAAGTCTCATTTATAACAATATTGCTTTCCTATGTGGACAGACTGTAAGGAGGTGTCTTCCATAGCTAAAAATGGAATCATAGTTCAACTTTTTAAAGACTTCTTATTTAAGAGCTTTCACTTTTCCTTCCTTCCTTTTTGGCAAGTCTCTTAATCTGCACCTAAGAGACGTCTACAGGGTGTTAGTGAATTGTTTACACTGTGTTGTGACGTAAATATTTATTGAGCTTCATTAAGGAATGGCCCAAAGGACCATGTAGTTCATGTAGTTCAGCTGTACCGTGTACTCAAGGGGATCCATCCTTAAAGTGAACATTAGCATTTTCAGTGGGGTTTAAACCTTACCTGGTTGGAATTTAATCTCCCACTTTCAGCACAAGGACCATAATGACATAAACAGGGGACACTTGCATCAAGAGGTACCCGACAAACGGCTCCATTTAGCCTTCTCTAAATCCTCCTTAATATGATTAACATCTGATATTTCTCTATTTGTGAATCATATCCACTTCCAGCCAGGCCACCTCTCCTTTATCTGCAGTGTCTATTTTAAGACGGCTCCACTGCAGGGACAACGGTGCCTGGGAAGGAATTTTGTCACTTCTCATGTGACTTCAGACAAGTTCTTGCACTATTCTGGGCCTCATGCCTCCTTCACTAAAATCCACATCTTCCCAGAAATGTGAGCAGCAGGACCTAGGAATATGGTCTTTGCTCTATCCCTTTCACATCCCCGCCCCCCCCCCACACACACAGCACACAGACAAGCCCATGTGTACCACACAGCCTGAGATCCACGACCACTCCATAGTTTTCAATTTAGCCCCTTCAGTTTGGCACGTTTACTTACAAAAGTTGCAGATAAGGGGATCCCTCCTTTTCCGTGCTTTTCAGCAAGGAGGTCACTGCTCAAGTGAGATACTTAAAAAACCACCCTTCTTATCATTGTAGCTTTACCAGTGTGGGTGGTGGCTGCCAGCCAAAAGTAGACCCAGCACCTCCAGCCAAATACCTCCGCTGATAGCTAAGTTTCTCCTCCTCAGATTAAGTGAAATAAGCCGGTAGTTTTAATATGCACAAGGGAAGAAGATGGCAAAGCAAAGGCCTGTATGCCTTAGTACTTAAAAAAAAATTAAAATACAGATGAAGCACAGTAGAAAGTCTGAAGTTAGGCCTTCTTACGTAAGCATAGGATTCAGGGTGATCTATTCACCCACCTGATTATTAACTGATCAGCATCTTATTGATTGCATCTTTACTTTTTTTCAATCCGTTGTTTATAGTGATAATAAAATGACTAACTTATTAATGTTCCAGGCATTCTTGACATCGTTTCAATAATATTTACTTATTTAAAATAGGTAGCTATAATGACATGGACACTAATAAAATAGCAAGGTTGCCTTGTGCTCTACTAGTTTTAAAGTTAGTCTAAATGCGAGGGACCAGAATAGCCAGAGAAGAAGGAGAGAGTTGAGGAGGGGGCTTCAGCTTTTTTCCTTCTTCATGAGCTCTTTTTCCTTCCTTTCTTGTCTCTGTGCCTCTTAGCTTCTTGCTGCTCCTTTCTCTCCTCTGCCATAGTCTGCCATGGCACCTCTGTCACTGCTCAGTACCATCCGTGCTCAGCCACTGCTGCTGATGGCTCTCAAGGCTACAGAGGTTGCTGACCTCTGGCCTGGGGGAAAAGAAAGCAGATGGAGAAGGTTTATCACAGGCTGGGAGGGAGTGGCCTGAAGCTCTCTCCTCTTCTGGACCCTGCATTTCCTGGTCTTTATGAGTCAGGACCTTCTAAAGTGACAAGAGAGCTTGCTCTGTCTTTTGTATCAGTTTACACAATTGCTAAGATTCTTGGCACGGCATCCAGATTTAGGGTGATGAGAGTTTGAGACAACCCAGGGGATGTGGAAGAAGACACGAAGAGGGATAAAACAAAGTGACACGTTTAGTTTATGCTGAAGAGGGGGAAGATGGCTGCATCAGCCAAGGTGGGGTGGGAGCCTGGCTTCTGAACCTGCGTTTGCAAAGCTGTGCAAGGGAGAAGTGTTCAGTTCTGGGCTGCATCTTTCACTCCTGCTTCCCACATTTAATGAGATTGGCAACAATAAATTTGTCTTTCCAGGTGTTATGGTATATATTTCCATGCTTCATTCTCACGTTGCTTTGAAGAGCTTCCAATTTTTTTTCTTTTTTCTTCCTCTTTCTTTTTTAATAGAGAGGGAAAGGACGTTTGGCGTTCCTTCCTGGTTTTTAGGTCGTACCGATACTTCTGCCGTAGGAGCATATGAGATGGATTTTTGTTTGTTTGTTTTTTCCTTGTCTATTGTAGCAGAAAAGGAAGGGGCTGATTGCTGTCAGGTTCAGAGACCAGTTCACCAGTGAAGACTTCAACTAAGGCACCTGACTTGTCTAACTTACAATTTTTTTAATTGCCTCATTTGAGGACTCAAAATAATCTAGGTTAGTCTGCATTACCCAGGAGAGGTCACTTAATAGTGTACATCTAAGAAAGGCAAATGTCCAGAGGTTGAGGAGGTTTTGGGTGGCCTGAGTAAACACTGAGAAGAGAATGTGATAAACATTTTCATCCAGGCATACCGAGTCTCTTTCTCCTTCTGAGTACCATGGAGTCACTCTTCTGCGGGGCATCCTTCACAGGCCCTTAAGTGGCTAGTCATTTACCTATAGGTAGAAATCCAAGTTCCCAGTAACAGTGACTAATCTCCCTCGTTCTCACTGAGGCCCAGGTTCAGAGGTGGAAGGCTTAGAAATATACAGAGTAAACTAGAGTTATTCATTAGTGGGCTTATAAAGGTCATTTTCTATCATTCTAACTGGAGTACATCTCATTGGGCTGAGGTTCTGTTATAGACTCTGGGTTTGTCATGTTCTCGGTGGCATGTGACAGGAAAGAGAGGGTATTTCTGCAGACCTCTTGTGGGACTTTCTTGAAAATAGAAAGTTAAAAAGTAGCATCCCTGCCATAAACCACCCACCCCAGCATGTGCATTTACTAATATATTCCCCCCACCAGGCTTCCCTCCCCTTACTCCTACTTTTAACCAAATCCACATTTAAGAAGATCGAGCATATTTGGAAATCTTTCATTCGCACTGTCATCTCTTTAAAGAAGAATGGAGACAGGTGGATTAGGGAAGTGCTTTCCCTCTGCTCTAAATACTTAAATATGAGCGATCATTTGGCAGACAGGCACCTGAGCGAAGACCTTTTACTGCAGTGGCTGTCTGTGGGCCTCCAAGCTGCTGAGGCCTTTAAAGACGCTCACACCACACACTCATGGTGGGTGGCAAAGAGGAAAAGAAACACTATTTCTTCCCTTTGCCAGTTCCAGCATTGACAAGCCAAATTGATCTTTTAAGAGACGAAATGAATGTTCTCTAAATATATGTACACACATGGCTGTCTGGGAACATATTCCTTCTACAGAACGATTGCCTGAAATTGGAGGAGGGAACACGCCAGGCCAGGCCATGTGGGCCTGGAAGTGCAGCTTGAAGAGCTAGGGGAGGGAGAGGGGAGCACCCCCCCCCGAGTATGGATGCACCAGGCTTCATTTCTATACCGCTGTCCTTTTGAGATATAAGGTGTTCATCAGTATAATGAAGCGGGCCCATTGATTTATCATCTGTTTGGTAATGTCATTGCATTTTTA